AGCACCAGGCCTATTTTCCTGCATGGGGCTGTGACCCTAAGCAGTAAGCAGAGAACAGTGTTGTGGCTTGAAATTATGATACCTGATCTATACCTGAACCAGAAGGTAGACACATATATTAATCTTCATTTGAGGTTCTGCCTAGTACAAACTCCTATATCAAAATATGTGACAGAAATGAGTGAAAAATATGTGAATGAAGTGATAATGAGAGTGTCCTTCTATTCTCACCTATTTGTCTCCATGGTGAAAAACAATGGCTGTTACCACACTTTTCCCTGTTATATTACAGAAGTACAGGGTAAGGAAAATGAGGAAGAGGTAGGCGGGTTTTTACACCCTGTTACATGAGCAGTTCAGAAGAACTGAATGAAATCACATTGCCAAAGCACACAAAAATACACCACCAAGCCAAATTCACAGCTTCTGTCCTTTTTGTGCACCATTACTGTAACAGCCACAAGGAAACGGGTTTTCAAGGAGGAGGTAGGTTTGCTTTTGTCTTTGTCTGTTTTTCTTTTCTATTTTCTTTTCTGGGTTTTGTGGGTTTTTTTATTTTTTACTTTTTTTTTTTACTCCAAAGAAGCTAGGCAAAGAAACACTGCATTTTGTTATTTGTGTTAGTTTTACTGCTGTAAAATAAATGTGAGGGGTAGACAGACATTACCTGCAAATGCAAGTTTCCTCTGATGAGTATCTCAGCCAAAATTTTGATGGTGTGTTTTTCCTATAATCTGAAAAGAATTATATAAAAATATTCTAAAATTAAAAGTTTCCAGTATTACTGGCCTCATCCACATAGCAGTATTTTGCTTGTTAAGACCTGCATTGCAGCATTGAAGGGTGCCTATGTCACTTTCTCTTGAAAACTCAGTCAAAGTGGAAATGTTCAGATTGCAGCTCTCCATGTCCATAGAGTAAAATCACTATGCAGAGTGAATCTTCTATGTACTGAATTTAGGCACCAGTAGAATGGAAGTATGTCAGTGTCTTTCTCTTTAATACTGAACTAGAAGATTTCGCATGTGCACAGTTCTCTGAAAATGCTGCAGGAGTGTAGTCATAATTTTACCCTAGTAGCACACCCAACATGTAAGCAGCAATTCCATTGCACACATTCTCCCTTACAAAAATAACTTTCAAAGTGTTTCAGAGTCAAAGCTGGGAAATAAACCTTAGAGGTTTAGTGTTAAGTACTATACCAAACACAGATATTTCCCATAGCAAAAAATCCTGATATGAAAACAACGTGTAACATTTAGGTTTTTTTCAATTACATACCCTCCTTTTCATTGATTATAAAAATCATAGCAGTACTGAGACATAATAAGCTACATGGTTATATGTTACTTATAATCAGCAGGTTATTGGACAGTTTTTATTCTCACCTAATGAACTCTCTAATCAACCTGGATGAGAATAGCCACTGCAGCAGGATTTCGACCTCGCAGATATTTCCAAACTCTTAATATGACCATCTCCTGTGGACATGTGTCAGGATTCAGAATTCTTTAAGAGGTAAATGAGTGGCCTGTGCTGTTGCACAGAGTCTAGCAGAAGCTAATTTTCATGGAGAGTTTATAAACTACAATGCAGAAAGAAAAGAACTCCACACAGAAACACATCAAATTTCCTTAGGATTTTGATCAGTAATCTGCACATGAATTATTGGAGATGTGAAAGGAAATTTGGGCAATCTCTGGGGAAAACAGTACTGTTCTACTGCAACTGTTTTTCTAAAGAGAAGCACAAGATACTGTCACAGTTATAGGAAAGAAGACTAACAAGCACTTTTAAAAATAAATTTGCAATTTTCAGTGAGGAAATATCAGTGGCAGCATTTCTGTTTAGTACTTACCTGTGGATTCCAGATGATGTAAGAGGAGAAAGGAATGAATTATCTTGGATTCACCTGACCACTTTGGATAGCTTAGTCTGAGAGAGACCCCTTTGGGCTGGTCACCCTTGCCTGTCCGTTCAGTGACTGGCAGGAAATAAACATAGTGAAGCCTTCATCCATCTTCCTCTAGGCTAGGCTGAATAAACTCTGTCTTAAGTAGCTGTTTCTTTCCAGGAACTCTTAAGGAATCATGGAATGCCCTGGTGGCATATCTACACAGCACTTGGGTAAACTTAGGTAAGACAAACACCATCCCACAATTGACAGCATTTTCAGAATCAGATTAAAGCAATTTAATTTCCTTTTATTAATTTCCAATAGCAAATATGTTAGTTACAATCCTTTACAAATTATCTAATTTGTAAAGGATAATTAGAAATCCTTTACTAATTATCTAATTTGTAATATCTAATCCTTTACAAATTATCTAATCCTTTACAAATTATCCATTGTGCTGAAGGGTCAAGAGCATCTATTCAAGAAGTACTGAATGAAAGTAAGAATTATTTTGTGTTCAAGGCCCAGAGGTGAGATCTTGTCCTTCGTGGTTAATAATCTTGATTACCACAAAAGATCACAGACGCAAATTTTCTTTTCTCTGGTATTTTTCTGAAGCTACTACTCCTACACAGTTTCCAACATCTGCCCGAAAGAAGGGCAATCTAAGATGACTCAAAAAAAGTAACTAACTAAATAAAAGAAGGCACTGTGTGTGCTTAAAACAGTGGGTTGTTATGTAGTTGGGTGTAATCACAATCATTACGTCTCTCTCACTCTGTTAAGCAACTTACATATTTCATTAAAAAATATAAAGAATGTCAAGAAAAATTCGTAAATAGCTAAAGATACCAATATATGGGAAAATAAGTTATTCATGTATGAGACAAAGGATGATTGTGAGGTAAGTGAAATACTTGCACTATGTATTTTATTATCATTATCAAACAATATAAGAGACACTTCAGGAAGAAGAGTACACTACAAAGAAACTAAACTTTGCATCACTACTCACAGAAAAGGATCATGAGAGTATGGTCCTACCTCTTTTTTAAGTAAATAATGATAAAGTGACAAATATGGGGTTATTAAAAGAGGAGTGGTTAAGCAAGATGCCACTAGAGCAATTTAGGTAGTCCAGGTCTTGCAGAAAATAAAAGCCGAACTGTAACAAGTATGACTAATGATAGTCACACTTGTCTACTCTGTTAGGTTTTCTTTGGCATATCCACAGAAAGGTGAATAAAGAAAAATAAATCCCCTCATAACCTGCGAAAAAAGTCCTGTCATCAAAGGGAATAGAGTGATTCACAAATATCTGAGTGATCTTCCCAGCATGCACTTGATGTTGGTATGAATGTGACACTGTGCATCTGATCATGCTGTTTTGCAGGAAGAGTAATGTTCTGACTGTAGAACTTACGTTAATTAAAGAACTCCGAGTATATTTCTGTGTGCTTTTCTGGGATATAAAATCTCAAGCCATCACTGAAGAGGCCAAGGATGTGGTTTCATTCACATTTTCCTTGACTATAATGCCTCTTTAGGAGTTCCTTTCACCTTATTTACTTTGCCACCAACCTATTCAACCGCTTGTTGGGCCACACATGAACCAGGTTGTGGTTTGATTTGAAATCAGAATAACCCTTTTTTCTTTTGATTTGCAGCATTGCCAAAGGCTTTACAAAGCCCACCCCTTGCACAGCACCTGTGATCATACTTCCGACTGCTGCATTTACCTCGCAGTTTCTTAATGGGAAAGAAATGTCTATTTATTTTGTAAGTGAGGAAGTGAAGTCCACAGAGTTGATTGAGTCTGGGTCATAAAGTGAATCCGTGGCAGACTAGAGAACTGAGTAAACTTCTTCATCATGTCAGTACAGTACTATAATATCAGGAGTGGTTTGTTATATATATATAAACTTACACATAAATTGGGTGTAAGCAACTCTAAGCTGAGAGCTTAGATGCCTCTAGTGACTAAATAGAGGTCAACATTTCTTGCAGCAGCAGAAATAGCTTAGACAGCTCTCCTCTGGGTCTTTGTTGCTAACCAACACTGTCATCTCAGGTGAGCTTGTTCCACTGTTGCTAAGCCACATAAAAAAAAACCCAAACAAACAAGAAGAAATTGAAACTGCTGGGGTAGGAGGAGCATTGTTAGTTTTAGTGATGATTCCTTCAGAACTACTCACTTTGAGATCCCACAGTGAATGGCACTACCACAGCCTAGGGTGGCAGGATCAGGAAAGAGCCATGGAGGATGGGGAAGAACACGTGATGCTTAGGCCAACACTGCTGTTTAAAGAAATGCTTCTGAATCAAGCTCTTGAAACTTTTTCAATCTTCCTCTTGAAAGAGAGAAAGTTTTCCAGAAATCCAGGAGTACTCAGACAACTTTGTTTTCTCTCAAATATTTCCTTTTTATTTCCAAAGGTGTGAGAATCAAATGGTTGCTACTCTTGGGATTCCTTTGCAAAATCCTGTCCCTGACGACATTTCTCCTAGCACCTGCTGACTTCCAGTGTGACAAATGTGAAATGAACACTTCCACCAAAGTGTTCTGAGGGATAGGGTTTAGTTCATCCAGCTCTATTTGTGGCTAAGCTACACATCATATTAGGTGAGGTCTCAGTAATCACCCTGCTACACAGAAGAAAGTGGTGGACAGCTTATTTTAAATCCTTAGTCATCCAAGGGGCAGAGCACTTAAGACCAGTACCGGAGATAGAACATGGTCATAGAGTTTATATTCCACTGTAGACTGGATTTTAGATAAACAGGGGGTCTAAACAAAGGACACAACAGGGATTTTATTAGCTTTCACTACATCACTGTGCCTGAGTTGATTAGAGTTGATTAAATCATAGTTGCATCTTCAGCATGTCTAACGATGGTAGATAACCCTCGTGGTTTAACACAAAAAAAATCACTGCTATCTTAAAGTAAGCACATAACTTCAAGACCCAGGCAATACGCAGTTGGATTTACTAATCAGGTAGCTAAAGACTGCTAAATGAGCTTGCAGATATCTGCATGATTTGGGCAGTTATACAGTGTTTCTACAGAGTGAACATGGGATATCCTTACTGTGTTTGCAGGCATGAATGGGACAGCAATCGAAAATTTTGTCTGTGTCATTTTTAATGTTTCCTTCATGAATTGCACTTGGCATGTCGGCAGGCATGCTTCAGGAGATACCCAGTATTTCCTGTACTGGAAGACCTCAAAGTAAGTAGGTCTGCTTGAATCTAGGGAATTTTGGTTTCTGTCTGACCTGTGACATTGTCAATATTTAACTGATGCAATATGTCATGTAAAGGAAAGAAGACTTCACAGGATGCCAGAATTACATCAAAGATAATTATGGAAGGCACACAGGATGTAGATTCCAAAATGTGACAATAGAAAATAAGAGAGCTTATTTCCTGGTAAATGGTTCTAGAAATGGACAAAACATTCAGTCATATAAGAAGATGTTTATTCTGTACAAAATCGGTAAGGACTTTTTAATTTTATTGTTTTACTTCCAGTTTTATGCAGTCTAAAAGTGTAAGAATGAACAAAAATAAATGAATGAAGAGACAATCTGAAATCATAAGTCCAAGAATTGTGAACATTTCAGTCAAATATTTATTTTCTAACAGAAAGGTGTCATTTTGCAGAATACCTAGCTAAGGATGCCTGAGCGGGACTATCTAGGTCTCATCCATGTAACACAAAAGAACTGATTACCATAACATTGTGAGCAAAAACTTTCATTTCCTGAATGGAAGAATATTGCTAATAATAATAATTTAAAAAAAATACTTCTGCTTAATATGAACATAGTCTATAAAAAAAACCTGCACGGATTATATGTTGAATCCAATAAAACCTAAACAATTGTTTGTATTTTTTAATTTTACCTGATGTTGCTGCTGATACTCCAGGTTCCTCGTCTAGAGTGTTAAATCAGGGAGTCCTGCTTGAGAATATTGGATGAATATAAAAATTCTGGTAAAGCTGCATTAAAACTTTTTAAACCAGTTGCTTGAACATCTACCTATATTTTTAAAAGGCAGAGTGAAGAAAGATGATTATTAATCATTAGTATTTCTGATTATATTACTGCAGAAAAACTTACCCCTCCATTAAATGTCACTGTGAACTGTACAGAAGCTTCTCATGGTTGTGAAATTCAGTGGCAACCACCTCGCACAAGTCATGTGAAAAGACGTGCTTGTTTCAAATATGAAATTGTCATAGAAAGCAAGGTAAGAATAATAATGATTCTTAATAGCATTTTGTATGCTTTTATTTCCACACATGCTACCATACAACCAATACCCAGTTCTCTTTCCTTACTTGACTAATCTCTCCTATTTGATGTGTAGTGCCCCTCTTGCACATGAGCTGGGGACTACTGCCTCTCACAGACAGGGGCAGGAAATCAAGGGAATACTTTCAATCCACTGTGCAGCTAGTCAAAAATAAATAAATTTTTCTCTTATTGCTAGGCTGATCCTGAGAAAAACATCAGAAACACATCTAAAACAGTAAGTTTTTATTGTGGTATAAATCTATTGTTTATGCTGGGTCGAAATTGTATCTATGTCAGAGCATCCTCCAACCAAATTGTTTTGGTTTCTCACTACCAGTTTCAGTGTATTTTGTATGCTGTTTTTTGACAAGTTACCTAAACTCAAAGTTTTAAAATGTTATTTTTAAAACACAGTATGAAAACACCTGCACATGTGGAACGTCCTGTTATTTCTATGCAAGTCACAAAATCTTCCATTTTTCAATCTTTTGTAATTCCTACCCAATTATATATATGCAGAAATGTGGGCTGTAATTCCACATTCCTCTTAGATACACAAAATGTGGAGAATTTTTTCTTTATTAAGTAAGTGTTTGGAAGGGGTTGACATGGAGGAGGCAAGAAAATACCACCTGAAAGATTAAGCCAGTGTAAAGAAGAAAGACAAAAAATATATAATCAAGTTTTTGAGAAGAGTCAATATTCTTCTGAGAAGGATTTTAACATACGTAACAAGTTTTACTTCTTAATAATCTGGCTGTGAAACTCTATTTCAGTTTTGAAAACATCCACAGTAAGGGAATGACAGATCTTTAAAGGACTACCTTATAGTAAAATAAATCCATTACAGACTGAAAATAAACTATTGGTTTGGGTTTTTTTTCCCCCAAAGCTCATCTGTTTAGCAAAGGCTAAGGAGACAGCGAAGCACACTGCAAATTTCATCTTCATATCACCACCAACAAAAATGTTCAAACAAAAAGAATGAGGATGAAAGAAGCTAATTTATTAAGGGTTAGGTTTTTGGGTTTTTTATTTTTATTCTAATCTGTTCACAGGGTATATGTAAAATTTTCCTTTGTAATTTTTTGCACCATTGAATCAACCTGACGTATTCTTAACATCTGTACATCTAGTGAATAAAAAGTTCTCAGTCTAGTTGTTTTGCATTTAGGAAAGCAGCATCACAGGAAATTCCTACATATTTGGGAGCTTCAGTACAGAAAAAAGGTACAGCGTCAAGATCAGAGCAACTGATAATGGTTGTTTAGTGAGCACCAACTGGGGAGAGTGGAGTACACCTGTAGAGTTTGGTAAGAATGAAAATCACTATCATGACCTAGTTTTCCCCCAGTTATTACTTGTCTGCCTCATTTATCACTTCATACCTAGAGATGAAAACACATTGATATTTGCACATTAATATATTACAATGAAAAGGAGCGAAGAATTTGCCTATCTCAATATGAGTGAGTTCTCCAAGCATTCTGGTGTGGGTGCTTCTTGCAAGGAGATAGTGATTGAAGTAGAACTTCTTGAGGTCTGTTGTCTGCTCTTTTCTTTCTGTCATTTATCCTTCTGGCTTTATAAACTTCTGTTTTCCCCTGTTGCACTCTGCCACCTTGGATTTTGAAGTGCTCAGTAGGCCTCGGTTCCTCGCAAAATGATTGGTAACATCTGAAATGACCACAAACAGTCCACATACTGTCAGCCATCCTATTTCTTCTTATGGGGAAATGAGGTGCTAAGCTAAAGAAGAAGTGACTTCATACTGGTGCTTGATGCCATAATGGAAAGCAGATTGCACATAGAAATGTAATCATTCCTGTTCTGTGATACCAGTGAACACTTTGATGACTTCTTGTCTTTCAGGAACAAGCCGACTTACATCTACCTCATCATATATGTTATTTCTGATATCAGTGCTGGCAGCAGGCTTTGTACTTTTTCTCTGCACAGTGTAAGCCTTATTTCTTGTCCAAAGCTTTTATTCTGTAGTTGAAATAACACCTCTTTCCCCAAAAGGAATTTTCTGGCCTCTTTCTAAATGAGAGAAGGCAGGGGGAAAGTCAACACTGAACTATAGCAGAAATCTTGACCTTGAAGTTGGCTCTATATTTCTGATTCCCTAACCTTATCCACTTGATCAGTATAACACAACTCTTTCCAATACTGGGACAAGGCCTTACAACATTGCTACTTTCCTGCCATCAGACCCTGCAGTGTTTTTTCTTGTTTTGAGGATATTTCACATTCAGATACTTAAAAAAGCAGTTTCCTATGATTCTCTAATAAGTCATAAAATTATTATAATTCAAATTCCGAACAATGAAATTACGCCATTTTATTTGGCCTATGCACTTTTTAGTTACTCTTTCACTGCTTCTGTCCTCAAGCAACATTATGGCACAGTATGTTTTCATATGTATGCACACTAAGTTTTTTCTTCACCAACCCTTTCTCTTACTGTAGAAGAACTTATTTGAAAAAAGCATCTGCAACAATACCACAGCCAAGAAACCCATTCCATGAGCTCTCTCCAATGGATTTCCAGGTATGTTTTCTTTCCGTTTGCTTGAAATTTGTTGTAATTAAGGATCCACTGCAGTCTTAAAGGTGTGACCTAAGTGCCAGAAAGATGCACAGAAGTAAGGACAAATTTTCTTGTTGTTGTGTATTGAAAGAGGTCAATATGAAAGTTATTGTCCTATTCTTCCTTTACCATTCTGAAACTGTGGTCATTCATCTACCTGGAGCACTGGAGAAATTACACAGTTTCACCCTGCTCTCCCTGTAAGCTATATGCTATCACTGGAATAGTGCTGAGCATAAGTCTCTCAGCACATTAATAATACAGACTGTCGGCCAGCTGTGAGGAGAGAAGGGACAAAGAAATCTACTGCTGGACAAAAAGAGTTGTGCCGTAGCAGATATTGAGACCCATGTTGGTACTTGGCAACAATGCTGAAGGAGGAAAGATTTTTAGAGTATGGTAAGCAACAAAGTATAACAGAGAGCTGAGAGGTTCTAGCTTATGCAAAGAGATGGAGAGATTCATAAGAAGCAACTGACAGACATAGCAGGAACCACCCATCTAGATATGGAACTGCCCATCTAGAGAGCATGTTGCAAAGTTTCATGCAATTTGCAATATGCAAAGTCTTTTAGTTGGCTGCATCCAGGTCTGGAAGCAAAAATGTATCTGCAAGGACACACTGGATCACTGGTGAGCCTATATTCATCTTTTCATATTCTGTTCCTTCATCATGTTAATATTTCGATGTTTAAAAATATGAGTTTTCTGGCTTTTGAGTTGAAAAGTCTTTTGTTCCACTCTGGGGACCTCGTCTTGGAAGAAAGACCTAGACATGTCTATTTCAATCCTCCCATTGACAGAGTCCCATTATAGCTTCTATATAACAAATTACAACTCCCTGAATGACAGGAAATTTATAAATTGTAAACTCATGGCTAATCTCATGCATGAAACACTAATGAAATCTTTTATTCTTCTTTTAATAGATAGAATATAAGAATCAATCAAGAATGCATGAAAATGAAGAAATAATAACAATTATTGAAGAGGTGACATAATGGCATGCAAGAGAAACAAGCAACTCGAATTTTTTTCAAGCATGTATATCTTGTTGCCAAAACACAGCACTGCACTATCTACTTGAAGAAAATTAACTCTATCCCAGCTGTAACCAGGAAAGCAGCAATTTACAGGTTTTATGTATTCTTTCCCTCTTGCAAGCAGAAAGAATAATGTTGCCTGCAGAGACAGTTCCCCAAAAGCCTATCTTTAAAAGCCTCTCTATATTTGATTGCATTTTCCATAAATACTTCTGATTGTTTGGACTATTTTTGGTTTTTATTTATGTCCTGGTTTCTGACAGGGTAGAGTTAATTTTCTCCCTAGTAGCTGGTGCAGTGCTATGTTTTTGGCTTTAGTCTTGCAACAATGCTGGTAACACACAAATGTTTTTTAGTTGTTGCTAAGTAATGCTTACCCTGATTAAGGACTTTTTGGTTTCTCAAGCTCTGCCACTGAGGAGAGTCCAGTATATAAACTAGGGAGAGTTACTAAAGGGACTGATCCCTGCTCAGGTCAGGCTGGGTATTGTTTGGCGGGTGGTGAGCAATTGTATTGTGCATCACCGGTGGGTTGTTTTTTTAATGTGTGTGTTATTGTTTCCCCTATTAGCTTTATATTCTTTCCCCTTGTTATTTCCCTTATCATTAGTAGAAGTAGTAGTAGTAGTAGTAGTATATTGTACTTTAGATATTAAACTGTTCTTATCTCAACCCATAGGGTTTACATTATTTCAATTCTCCTTTAGGGCAGGGGAAGGTGAGAGGAGGTGTGAGCAAGCAGCTGCCTGGTATTTAGTTACTGACTGTGTCTGAACCATGATAGTCCTTTATGGCACCCAACATGGGGCTGATAAGGTTGAGATAAAAACAGATCTGACCAGGGTGTGTCAAAACAAATTCACTATAAACAGCTCAACATCCAGTTGGAGACCAGTAACGAGTGGTGTCCCTCAGGGATCAGTGTTGGGACCTGTCTTGTTCAACATCTTTGTCAGTGACATGGACAGTGGGATTGATGCGCCCTCAGCAAGTTTGACGACGACACCAAGCTGTGTGGCTCGGTTGATACGCTGGAGGGAAGGGATGTCATCCAGAGGGACCTGGACACGCTTGAGAGGTGGCCAATGCCAACCTCATGAAGTTTAACCAAGACAAGTGCAAGGTCCTACACCTGGGTCAGCACAACCCCAGGCACAGCTACAGGCTGGGTGGAGAAGAGATTCAGAGCAGCCCTGCAGAGAAGGACTTGGGAGTGTTGGTCAATGAGAAACACAACATGAGCAGGCTTCAGTGCGCGCTCACAGCCCAGAAAGCCAACCGTATCCTGGGCTGTATCAGAAGAAGCATGACCAGCAGGTCAAAGGAGGTGATCCTGCCCCTCTACTCTGCTCTCGTGAGACCTCACTCGGAGTATTGTGTACAGTTCTGGTGTCCTCAACATAAAAGGGACATGGAGCTGCTGGAGCAAGTCCAGAGGAGGGCCACGAGGATGATAAGGGGGCTGGAGCACCTCCCGTATGAAGACAGGCTGAGAAAGTTGGGGCTGTTCAGCCTGGAGAAGAGAAGGCTGCATGGAGACCTCATAGCAGCCTTCCAGTATCTGAAGGGGGCCTACAAGGATGCTGGGGAGGGACTCTTCGTCAGGGACTGTAGTGGTAGAACAAGAGGTAATGGCTTCAAACTGAAACAGGGGAACTTTAGGTTAGATATAAGGAAGAAGTTCTTTACAGTGAGGGTGGTGAGGCACTGGAATGGGTTGCCCAAGGAAGTTGTGAATGCTCCATCCCTGATGGTGTTCAAGGCCAGGTTGGACAGAGCCTTGGGCGACATGGTTTAGTGTGAGGTGTCCCTGCCCATGGCAGGGGTGTTGGAACTAGGTGATCTTAAGGTCCTTTCCAAACCAAAAAATTCTGTGATACTATGATTATAAATATTCATTGTAATGATTTAATAGTCACAGGTCACAATGTTGTTTTATTTGCTCCTAGGGTTGGTCAAGCTTGGTCTCAGTGTTGTATTATCTAATACTTTACTTGCAGTATGCATTCCCTGAAGTGATATTTATCATCCATGGGACCTGTACTGAGGTTCTCGCTTTGAGGTACTTTATAGTAATGGCTTGTGATATGATAGAATTGCTAGTTGTGAAACTATCTGGTATGTGTACTCAGCATTGCTATCGCCTCTGTATTTTGGAGCCATCTAAGGGGAACTATTAATAATCATACTTTTTGCCTTTTCTCCTCAGAGGGCCAACCTGTGGAGGAGACACCCTCCCACATCTTTCCCTTCTCCACCAGGCTATTTACAGTAGAATTTGAGAACTTTAAAGTTTTTTTATATCCTTCGGATACAATTGAAACACTACGTAGATGCTCATGTACCAACAAGTCAGGCCATTGAGCAACACCAGAACAACCAACAAGTGGATAGAGCTGCTAAGATTGAGGTGGCTCAGATGTAAATCCATCTTGGCAGCATACGGGTGAATTATTTTTAGCCTGGGGGGCCCATGGCACCTCAGGCCATCAGGGCAGAGATGCAACATATAGATGGGCTTGTGATCGAGGGGTGGACTTAACAACGGAAACTATTGCCCAGGTTATTCATGAATGTGAAACATGTGCTGCAATTAAGCAAGCCAAGCAGTTAAAGCCTCTCTGGTATGGAGGACGATGGCTGAAGTACAAGTATGGGGAGGCCTGGCAGGTTGACTATATCACACTCCCAGCGACCCGCCAAGGCAAGTGCTATGTGCTTACCATGGTGGAAGCAACCACCGGATGGCTGGAAACAATCGCTGTGCCCCACGCCACTGCCCAGAACACTATTCTGGGCCTTGAGAAACAAGTCTTGTGGTGACATGGCCCCAGAGAGAATTGAGTCAGACAGTGGGACTCATTTCTGAAACAACTTTATAGACACTTGGGCCAAAGAGCATGGCATTGAGTGGTCTACCACATCCCCTACCATGCTCCAGCCTCTGGGAAAATTGAACGGTACAATGGGCTGTTAAAAACTACACTGAGAGCAATGGGTGGTGGGACTTCCAAACACTGGGATATACATTTACCAAAAGCCACCTGGTTGGTCAGCACTAGGGGATCTGCCAACAGGGCCGGCCCAGCCCAGTCAGAACTTTTACGTACTGTAGAGGGAGATAAAGTCCCTGTGGTGCACCTAAACAATTTGTTGGGGAAGACAGTCTGGGTTATTCCTGCTTCAGGTAAAGGCAAAATCACTCGTGGGGTTGCTTTTGCTCAGGGACCTGGATATACTTGGTGGGTAATGTGGGAGGATGGGGAAGTCCTTGGATGAGGTGCGTACCTCAAGGAGATTTGACTTTGGGTGAAAATAGCCAGTGAATTGAACTGTGTGATGATGTATAACATTGGATATCATCACTTCCATGGGTGCTATACACCCATCACTGCACTGGGCAGCTCGTGGAACCCATCTCCATCTCTCTAGATTTGAGGATCTGAACCTGGTTCCCTTTTGATCACTACATTAACGAAGACTGAACTTTGACAAAACTGGACAAGTGCAGCGGTGATGGCACGGGAATGAGCTTCAGCATGCAACAATCCAACACCACACACCATCCATCTTTTCTGCCCAGAAAGACTGTTATGGCATATGGATCCCTAAGTCACAGACTGAATGAGCTCAGTGAACTTTTGTAGGGATGATCCACAGACTAAGGAAATTATATCTGTATGTATATATACATGTCTACCAAAATACACGAAAAGTGATGGCGGGAAGTGTGAGACATGGCATGATGTGAATGGTATGGAATAAAGTACAGATACTGTCCAGGTTTCACTGGGATAGAGTTAATTTTTTTCCTAGTAGCTGATGCAGTGCTGTGTTTTGGCTTTAGTCTGAGAACAGTACTGATAACGCACCAGTGTTTTAGTTGTTGCTCAGTAGCCCTTACCCTGACCAAGGACTTTTCAGTCTCTCATGCTCTGCCAGTGAGGAGGGGCACAAGAAGCTGAGAGGAAGCAGAGACAGGACACCTGACCCAAACTATCTAAAGCGGTATCCCATACCACAGCACATCATGCCCAGTATATAAACTGGGGGGGAGCCACCCAGAAGGGCAGATCGCTGCTTGGGTTGGGCTGGGTATCAATCAGCAGGTGACAAGTAATTATATTGTTCATCACTTGTGTTTATTGGGGTTTTTTCCTTTCCTCTCTTAGTTTCATATTCTTTTCCCCTGATATTTCTGTTATCATTATTATTATTGTTAGTTATCTGATAATTCTTTCAGTTATCTGATACCTGATAGCAATCATATTTTAACCTTTTGTTTTCATCTACCGCAGATATGAAGTGATGAAAAGTGGGAGGATATTTTTGGTTTTGAAAATGGCTGTGAACAACATTTAGAGCATGCTGTGCTGAAGGATGTAGCAACATAGTCTGAAAGCAACAAATAGACTTATGAGAAAACTGCCTCCTGAACATTTTAGCAATACTCATATGAGAAAATGATCATAAAGAGAAGGGTTTGGGTTGGAAGGAACGTTAAAGATCACCCAGTTCCAACCCCCTCTCATGGGCAGGGACACCTTCCACTAGACCAGGTTGCTCAAAGCCCCATCCAGCCTGGCCTTGAACACTGCCAGGGACAGGGCATCCACAACTTCTTTGGCCAACCTGTTCAAGTGTCTCACCACCCTCAACAGTAAAAAATTTCTTCCTAATATCAAATCTAAATTTCCCTTCTGTGTTGCATGGGTCTAACACTGTAAAAATTGGTCATTGGTGGACCATCCCCTATCACCTGGAGTGGGGGTGCACAGCAGGGAGCCGGCAAGGCCACCCCTCTTGGTGCAGGCTGGCCCCCTGCGTCAGGATGAATATGCGTGGGAAAAGGAAGTCAGCAGGGCCACTCCTCCAGATGCAGGCTGACCCCTTGCGCTGGGATGAGTTGGCACTTTCGGGGATATAAAAGGCCCGGGATTAGAGAAAGATCAGGACTAGAGAAGAAGAAAGGAGGGAGGAGAGAAGAGGACAGGGGAGATGGATTCAACTACCTTTATGGCCAACATTACCTCCGCCCGCCAAGTAGTGCCAGCCACCCTGTTTGCTCTCAATGCACCTTAGAGCTGGCCTCCTGGTCATTGAACAAGCGTGTAGGTTGGTAAGAACTGCGCCTAATCTGTTCTTTTGGAGCCTTTAGCTCTCTTTCTCTTTCTGGTTTGGGATTAGTCTCTGGGTTTTACATCTGTTTTAGAGGTTGTAATAAACTTTCCAGTAGTTTCGGGGTGTATATGTGTGGCCTAAGTTCCTTCTCCACCCGGAATCCTTCAATTCCTGGAACACCTTCTCTCAGTTTAAAGCCGTTCCCCTTGTCCTATCACTACATGCCCTTGTAAGAAGTCCCTCTCCAGATCTCCCATAGGCCCCCTTTAGGTATTGAAAGACTGTTATAAGGTGTTCCCTGAAACTTCTCCAAGCTGAACAAGCCCAACTTTCTCAGCTTATCTTCATAGAAGAAGTGCCTCAGCCCTCTGATCATCTTCATGTCCTCCTCTGGACTCACTCCAACAGGTCCATGTATTTCTTGTGCTGAGGACCCCAGAGCTGAACACAGTACTCCAGGTGGGGTCTCACAAGAATAAACGAAAGGGGGAGAATCACTTCTCTTTACAGCTGGTCATGTTTCTTCTGATGCAGCCCAGCATACGGTTGGCTTTCTGGGCTGCAATTGCTAGGTCATGTTGAAATTCTCATCAATCAACAGCCTCAAGTCCTTCTCCTCAGTGCTGCTCTCAATCTGGTCTCCCCCCAGCCTCTATTTTCTCTTGGTCTTAGCCTGACCCACGTGCAGGACCTTGCACTTGGCTTGGCTGAACTTCATGAGGTTGGCATTGGCCCACACCTCAAGCGTGTCAAGGTCCCTTTGGATGGCATCCCTTCTCTCCAGAGTGTCAACCAAACCACATAACTTAGCGTCACTGGCAAACGTGCTGAGGGCGCACTCAATCTCACCATCCATGTCACTGACAAAGATATTGAACAGCACCAGTCCCAGTACAGATCCCTGAGGAATGCCACTCATCACTGGTCTCCATTTCAACATTGAGGCTGCTGACCACAACATTTTGAGTGGGAACATCCAGCTAATTCCTTAACCACCAAGAGGTCCATTCATCAAGTCCATGTCTCTTCAATTTAGATACATGGATGCCATGTGGAACAGTGCACAACTCCAGGTAGATGACGTCAATTGCTCTTCCATTATCCATTAGTGCCATAACCCTGTCATGGAAGGCCAGCAAATTTCTCAGTCATGATTTGCCCTTAGTGAAGCCATAATGGCTGTCACCAATCGCTTCCTGGGAGCAAAGTGGGATTAAGGCATCCCTTTCCCATCCCTAGGCAAAGACCAATATAAGACCCAACAGGAGAGGGTGGTAACAGACTTTGGTAGCACCATCAACAGCACGAGCTTTCCTTAGGGATTTTTATTTTTTTATAATTTGCTTCCATTTTTTGAAAGCCTCAGCAAAGAAGTCCCCTGGGTAGGACAGTTTCCTTGCCTGTGGTAACACCACTGTCTCTATGGGCTGTTTGGATTGTTCTGTTGCAGTATATTTCAGTTTAAAAACAAAAAGTACACAAACCCTAAAACCGCAAAACCCAGACTTCCTCACTGTGTAACTAAGGTGCATAATCTGTGGGAGCACCAGAAAGCACACTGCTCCTCTGCTGCCTGCTCTACAGGCTCAGGAGATCTTCAGAGCGGGAGCATGGGGCTTTGCCTTGGGTGCACACAGTTGAGGTATCAACTGGAGAAAGAGAACCCAGCACTAGACAGATGTGCTTGTCCCTGTCCACCCATTGCAAGATGCATAATTCAGAAGACTCACGGGCTGGAAGTTGATAGCACTTCCCAGGACCAGTTTTAGCCATAGAAAAACATGCAGTTGCCCAGGGCAGGCAACATTCCTGTTAAATGGTGTGATGAAAGGATGTCCAGGATACAGACACTGCCAAGCAATCCAGCCACAGTCATCAGTAGGCACAGCCTTGTGGGCCAACTGCTTCTGCCAAGAAATCTCCATAGGAGCGTGGAGTTACAGCTCCCTCACAAAAACAGCTGCCCTTAAAACCCATTCCTACAGTGGTGTAGGATCAGTAAATACAACTTCAGTGTGATTGTTCCTAGACTTCCTTTTTCCCAGCACATTCTCTGAGTCTGCAAGGCCCTTAACTCCCTCCCTCTCTGCTCCTGCAGTGTTAGTGAGCAGAGCTCCTTGTTTGGATGTGTCACAGTAGGTGGGAGTAGGTGGGAGTAGGTGGGAGACTGCTTGATGCTCTGGGAATGGACCTATTAGAGGATGGAGACCAAGGGAGGTGAAAGGCTGGGAGAAAGGAGAACAAAAGCCAGATGCATGGAAACTGTGTTTCCCTTGTTTTCTAAACCCCATTTGATTCTCTGTAACATTTCCCGGTGCTCCCAGCTGCCCTGATCCTGGCTGGGGATATGCAACAGACCCTGGCTACCAGGCTCTGCTCCCACCCACCATGGGGAATCCTCACTGTTCCCAGGCCCCAGAGATGGTTTGTACTCAGAGATGCTTCATACTACTCAGTATTATTTAGAGCTAGAGAGAAATACCTGTAAAAGAAAATATTTCTTTGCACTTACTGGATTCCCAAGCACCAGTGGGTTCTGTAAAACAAAGGAAGATTTAACCAGATAATTGCTTGTTCACATGTATGAAATCATGAATTGTGCAATTACAGGAATTTGGTAAGAATCAGGAGGGAAGTGATGAATCTTGCAACACTTCCGACGGTACGACAGTTCCCTAAAACACAAGCGGCAAGGGAGACAGCCCTATTTATAGCCATACAACCATTTAAAATACCAGTCTTTTTATCTTCACTGAGCCAGAAGACTATGATAGAAAGATTAACAAGATAAAGATGTTTTGAAATAGAAGGTAGGTCTATCTTCATTTTTCCAACTATTTTGTTTGCTGAGGTATGCAATGAGACTCTAACAAGTCCAGGGCTGGAGGGGTGATGTCCCAGGCAAAATCTAAAAAGCTGTCAGAGGAATACATGGACCTAAATTGAATGAAGGTTTTTTTGCAAATAAAGTACTGCCTGCTAAGAAATGTCTTAGCCACAATTTTGATTTTCTTACCTGGATTGATACCAAATTTGTAGGAATTAGATACCTCTCATAGATCCACTTTTATGCATATATTCAAAAACATCCTCGAAAGTACATGAACTTTCACCAAATTTAGAATATTCACCACTGGCTAACACGAACTGATTGATATTGCTGTGATTCATTTTGGTATTTTCTTTTTGCAGCTGTTTACCCATCTGCTTTGATGTCTATTCATCCTAACCTTTGTATATGGCAGACAGATAAATAATCTTTAGGCCTTAAGACAGCAGTCACCAAGTGTATGTTTGCAACATTTATGCAGTGCTCCCCAGATCATCAGCTTTATAAATCATCACAGAAAATGTTTTGTTACAGAAAAGGACAACTTCTTTAACTTTGTTGCTGTTTATTTAAACATTTCTCTGACTGTCTGAGGAGTCTGTCGAATCTTTCCTCCCGCCAGAGCTGAGAGATGGTCAGACAGTACAGAAGCAGGCATATGAGCAGGTCAGACTATGCAAATTTAGAGGACAGTGGTTCACACTGACATCTTTCACCTTCAGCAAGTTTCACTGTTTTCTGTCTCCAAGGAGGAAGATATGATTGCTCCTCTTGCACTCATCTTCATGACCCAGTGGATGTTGCTGATCACCCAGTTCTGTGTTGGCTGGCACTGCACAGGCTGTGAGTAGGACACTTTCATGGGGCAATCCTCTGAGGGGGAGTGAAATATGCTTCTTATTATGGGTAGTTGTATTTAAATTGCCTTCTGTCTTGCATGTGGTAGGTAGTAATCTCTACACCCAAAAATGTGAGAATCTGCACCTTTACTGGTCCTTCTATGTGGTACAGCAGAGATGCCAGACTCACCTATTAGAAATTTGATGCTGAATCAACGGAAAGTGGAATTGAGTTGGACGAGCAGAATGAATTTCACTGAGGACTGATGTCCAGTGACTGCAGGAGATTTTACCAAGACTATAATGGTGACACCATGTTGATTAACTCTAATCACCTCCTTGTCTTCTATATGCTCCAACATACCTTCTAGGAGGATTTGTTGCATGACTTTACTAAGCATGGAGGTGAGATTTGCTGGTTAGTAGCTCCCATGATCCTCCTTATGATGCCTTGAAATGGGTGCAATATTCTCTTTTATCCAGTCACCAGAACTTTGCCTGACCACCATGACTTTTTAAATACGATAGAGCATGGACTGGCAACATCAGGCAATTCCTCAGGGCCCTAGAATGCATGTCATTGGGTTCCAGGGATTTATGTATACTGAGGTTCTTCAGGTGTTCTTAAACCTGATCCTCTTTTACGATGGGAGAGACTTCATTTCCCCAGTCCCTGCCTTGAGTGATGTTCAGGGACTTGAGATGTATGGGAAGAGTGATTTCCAGTGAACATTGAGGCACAGATTTGTTGAATTCCTCAGTCTTCTCCATGTAAGTTGTCACTAGTTCTCCTGTTTTATTTATCAGGGATGGCACACTTCCTTTAATCTTCCTTTTTGGACCAACATACCTGTAGAATCCTTTATTATTAATTTTCACATTCCTTGCCAAATTCAGCTCAAATTCAGATTCAAGCTTTTGATAGCAGACAGGAGATCTAGAACTTGGATCTTGTGTAAATGGATTACTTGAAAAGTGCCATGACCTTATGAAAAGGCAGCTTCTGATTCTGATTTAGTCTGTTTTCAGTGCTTATGTAGAGAAGACAGCAAACCAAGCATTTCCTGTTTTGCAGCTACTGTGTTTGTTAAGCAAATTCATCAGCCTCTACAAGCTGCACGGATACTTCAAAGCAAGTCATGAAGTTTTCCTCTTGGGATTATTCTTTTCCCTGTACATGTGTTACTCTGGCCATAGCTAAATTTCCTTCCTCTACAGCTCAAAGCTGTCTCCATCCATTTGGCCAGTACTGTGAATCTGACTGGGTAGGCAATCTCCAAAATAAAGTTGTTTCAGGAACGGGAACTGTAAAAGGAAGGTATTGGTTTTGACAGTCTATTTTGCACGAATAGAAAAGGGTTGTTTCACGCTACACTACTGTGTCAAGCAACATGACAATGTTTCTCTGAAAAAAATAATGTTTCCTACAACTAGCTCAACAATTTTTCAGTCCTCTGTTGCCATTTTTTCAATTGCCAATTCTCTTTTAATTCTTTGTTCTAATATTTTATTGACTGCATTTAATGTCTTTAAAATGTTGTTAAAAATCCAAGTGAAACAGGTTAGTGCCAGTAGCTTTGAAATTCCTCGCTGAGAAATCTGTCACACCTTGAATTTTGTCATGGTGTAGTGCCCAGCAGTTTGAAGTGTCTTATTCCCAATAATGAAAGGTCTGAGAAAGTTTACTTCTCTTTGTATGAGAGGGGTAACATATATGACACTGTTAAGAGAATGAGGTAGAAGATCTGCTCATTTAAGCAACATGGAGTTGGAATATACAAAATGGCACTAGTTCCTGCCTCATCAAGCTCAAAGTGTTGGCTGATTCCTTATGAAAGGATAGGTAAATCGTCCTTCTTTTTTAAAAGGTGTGTTTAGTCTCTTTATTATTGGGTTTTCTTGGGGGTGGTGTTAAGGAGTAAATTGTTTGTGACCAGAAGAATATTTGTCATGTTAATGCCAGGTGGAAGAAGGTATTGCTACAGAGCACAAACACCTCACAAGTCTGCATCTACGCCTACCTTAAGTCTTGAAAAACTCCACAGCTCTGTCCTCTCTGGAGCCCACAGGAAAGCTCCTCATGCTCTTCACTCATTTGGCAGGGCGCTGAAGAAAAACTAGAAATGCTGTGGCAGGGTTCTGAAGGATGACAGACAAACGATTCACTCTGTGGCATTGTGGCACCAGTGTCTCCTTTTGAACAGGAACAATTCAAAGCACAGGGGTAGCCGCTTCAGGTGTCAGCATGTGCTAGAGTAGTGTTGGCTTCTCTGAGACTTATTTTGTCAGATGCAACTATATTTATATCCATGGAGACTTTATCCATGACAAATTCTTCACTGAATCTGTTAGTGCAAATATCTTCCTGTGTTACTATGTAAAATGAAGCAAGTCATTCCGGACCCAAGTAATAACCAGCTGGAGCTGCAGGTGTGCCAAGATCCTCCAGCTTGGAGCAGTCACTTGATTTTTCCTCATCACAGGTACTCCTGTGTTTGCAGGCATGAATGGATCAGCCATTGACAACTTCTCCTGTGTGATTTATAACATTTCCCTCATGAACTGCACTTGGCAGGCAGGCAAGGATGCACCAGCAGATACCCAGTATTTTCTCTACTGGCAGAACTCCAGGTAAGTAGGTCTGCTTGAGCCTAGGGAAGTTTGAATTCTCATTCAACACATCATATTGCCCACGTTTATCTAAAATACCTTGCTGTATATAGATATGAGGATGCGATGGAATGTGAGCTTTACATTCAGGATGAAAATGGCAGAAATACAGGATGTAGATTCCAAAATGTGAGGATAGAGACTGAAAAAGCTTACTTCTTGGTGAACGGCTCTAGCAAAGACTCCCTGATCCAGTTCTATGATGCATACATTCAACTGTATAAAATTGGTAAGTAAATTCTTTCTGCTTTATTTTTACTATTGCATGAGGGCGGCAGTGCATTTTTCCCTGAGAAGAAACCAAGTACCCTGCCTCACCTAGAGCTGAAAGTGAGATTGTGTCCTCTTCAAGAAAACTTATTCCCCAAGCAAAAGAGCAATAGGGGAAATTAATCAAGAAAGCTCTACAGCTGCAGTCTGCCTCAGATTCTTTAACAATCAGTGTTTATTGGTTTTAGTTTTAGCAAGTCCACAGTGTTTAAGAGATTGTACTTCTCCTGCTCTACTTTTAGTGGTGGCTAAAGGCATTTCAGCAGCACAGATTTGTCAGGAGAAGTTTATCCGAGCATTGATTTCCGCTTCTCATTGCCAGTGGGACAGCATACACCAACACCATATCTTTGATTAAAAAAAATAGTATGTGTATAAAATATTGCAGGTTTTCATATGCTCTTTCACACGTGGTGCTCTACTTGGAAGCACCCTGTGCAATTATTTTTACTGTGGCAAATCCTTTGTGGCAAAGTCCCATTGTTTTCGGTATTGTCTCCAGAAACTGGACAAACAAGGCTACATTCTATAAAGAGGAGCAGTTGAACTGTAATATCACTCATGGCAGATGAAACAAGACTCTTGACCAAACAGCTCATCACAAATGGGCCAGGCATGTCTCTAAAGATTGATGTAAAGCAGTAGTTTAGCTGAAACTAAGCTTTCCTCTACCAGCCTTGTGTCCGCCTTTCTGTCATGAGTGACTGTCTTTTGCTGTTACAATAATCAAGTCTTTTGCAATGATCAAATACAAAGGCCCTCATATTTTCTCTCACATCTTTGAAATTAGGGGAGATACATGAAGAAAGTGGCTAGGTTCTTCAAACCAAAATGTCGTTCTTAAATTTGTATGGCTAATTTTTTTGAAGTGGGGAATAAACTGTATAATTCACAACATCAAGCAAACAGCACCTTCTTGTCATAGAAGCATCATGTGAGGAGGGTTGAAGAGAGAAATTTCCTTTGAATTTCTTACATTAGGGATAGCATCAGCTTGTTCTTGTGCAGTAAAACCCATCCTTTTAAAAAGAAGACAGGACTTTGCCTTATTTATCTAGAAAAGTAAATGGAGGGCAGTTATATCTTTGTATGCTGTTGAGTCGTGTTCCCTGGCTTAGTCCCCATTTTTTCTGATCCTGGGACAGGATTTAAAGAACTATGGTCTGTCAGTTATATCTAAGGATTTTCTAAGAAAAATGGATACAAATCAGTATCTTCATAGAGGTGTTACTTGCAATTGCACTCTCTTTTATCAAAGCAAAAGGAGAACAAGGGATTTTTATTATTTGAATTCCTGGTTATATAATTTCAGAAAAGCTCATGCCTCCAGCAAATATCACTGTCAACTGTGATGAAATTAAAAACAATTGCATAATTCAATGGCAACGACCCCAAATAAGTCATTCTAACAAAGACAAGTGTTTTAAATATGAAATCAACATAAAGTATAAGGTAAGAGGAACTTCTTCACCTACATTTAAGATTAATACAGACATTTACCAGTGCACATGGGCGAAAATAAAATCAGTTTCTCTTGTGTGATGTAGCCTCCCTAATATGTAGCACAATATTCCTTTGAGGTTGTGCCTTTCAGGCATCTTTTTAGGCTATACCACCCCATTTTTTTATCCCTGATCCCCTGACTGAGATGTTGCTGGAGATACACTGGATGACTGTGACTATGTGGGACTAAGAAGAGAAACATGGTTAACGAAGACTTGAACACATCACAGCCTTGGCCATTTCAAAAGTCAGAAAATGTGTTTATTTCACCAAGACCTGTTGGAGCTGTCTTGGAGTCCTTACAGTAGTGAATTATCTCTGTGAAGAGGTAGAGGTGGGCTGTAATTACTGAATAGATGAACGTGCATCCACTTAACAAATAAGAGTTGATGGTGAATGAAATTTTTCTGTATATGAAATGTAAATAGCTTATCCAGATATCATATGCAGGCAACACACCCATTGGTCCAAAAGCTGAAGCTGTATACTGTTAATTAAAAGGAAAATAAACGTGAGAGAAAGCGGAAAGGTAGTGTGAATAAACACAGGTTACTCAGAGAGCGACTTAAGCTACTGAAAGCCAATTTCAGGCCCCGGCTTTTCAAGTCTTTTCACAGAGATAAGGAAGGAGTAAGACTGCTGTGTTGCGCCGCAACAGGAGTAAACCTAAACTACCGTAACTATGGCAGAACTGCGGCAAATGACCACAGGGTGGCAGACGGTGACTACAAAGGAAAAACCTGCCTGTGATATAACCAGGTTTGGCCACTAGGTGGCCGAGTGAAGGCATTTGATAGATTTCTGCCTTTTGGAACTTCTTAGTCTGGATCGCGCTTACTATTTCATAGCAATATACATAACACCATGAGTAATAGACATTCAGTTACATTTTTCATGTCTGACACGGACAAACTGAACTTGCTGAGACTCTCGATTTCTTCTTCACCAATGTTTTTACTTAAGTCTTTATAGATCAGGATATCTGGGACACCTGAAGGCTAACCTTTCCAGTGAAAATGGAACTAAAAAGGCATCAAATACCTCAGTCTTCCCCATATTGCTTGTCACTAGGTTCCCTCAACTCAGTAAGCTGTATTTTCCTTAACCTCCTTTACACTGTCAGTGCACTCATAAAAACCTTTCTTGTATTCACCTCCCTCACTAGTCCCAACTCCAGCTGAGCTTTGGCTTACCCAGCTCTATTCCTGCACGTGAAAATGATGTCTTTTCATACCTCCCAAATCCTTTTTTCTATCTTCTGCATACTTTCTTTCTGTCTCTGAGCTCAGACTCAAGCTTCATGCCCTGCCATGCTCATCTGGCACACTTGCTCCATTTTCTGCACACTGGAATGGGCTGCTTTTGTGCTCTGGGGAGGTTGTCCCTGTAAATCAACCAGTAACTTTGCCCTCGAAGCCAGGGCAGTTTCCTTTGCTTACAGAGAAAGACTTGGCTTGGAGGCTTTTGCTGCCTGAAGAGGGTCTCATCTGCTTCCTTTTCTTGATTGGGAAATCTGGAACAAATACTTAACACACGCCTGTGCTTGTCTGCCCTTTGACTCAAAGTCACAAGCTCTCTTCCTGGTTCATCATTTGTCCCAAGACAGAACCCTACATATTCAAGGAACTCCTTTACACGAAGCACAAGAACCAGGTTAGCAAGGCTATTTGCAAGGACACTCACAACCCACTTGGTGGGATGCATCCCATACCTGCTGAGCAGCCCCTGTTTCTCAAAAAGGGTCCCAAGGTTGCAGAAGCCAAAACCCTGCCTATGACACCAGCCACTCAGACAGGTGTTAACCTGCTGGATGACTGCAATCCTGCTCGACCCTTTTCCTCTCCTGGGAAAGACTGAGGAGACACCATCTGGGCTTCCTGCCCTTCATCATCCCCTCCATTGGTTACTCCTGGCCACACCACTGGTGCCTACAGAGAAAAGCAGGAAAGGGTAATAGTGCAATGGCCAGACAAGTCTGGATGTCCTTTTACAGCATCCCAGAATCTGGCCCCCAGCAAGCAACAGACCTTCATCAAGTCAGGAGGTTGGTGCTACCACCCCCTGCAGGAAGGAGTCTCTTTCATCTATCATGTGTTTTCTCTTTCATTTTCTAAAATGTAGTACCCTTTAACACATTTTCTCTTCAAAAATTTGCAAAGGAACGCTGACCTCTGGAGCTGCACATCTGAAGTCTTCCATGACCTCACTGTTTTCATTTCTCATAGTTTATTTTATTATAAACACAAGAAAACGGAGACCATAATGTTGTACTTTCTCCTAGATCGATCCCTGCGCTTCAGCTAGCTTTTTTACAGATTCTAGGAGCTGTCCAGTACAGCAGCATGCCTTGCAAGTTCATGTTCAGGTGCTACATGAGCACGCATACAATTATTTGATAAAAGAGTTTAGATTAATTTCATTTTGGTTTAAAATGGAGTAATACAAAGTGCAAAATATTAAATAAAATATGTAGCTCTAGTAGACTAATGCGATGATATAGCCTACAGTTATTAGTTCTGTGTAGTCACTACATTTCACAGTAGTCATCATGGCTATTCAGAAGGGATGAGTGAATATTATTCTATCAATCAAAAACATAACTGTAGGGCAGCTTAAAATATCCCTGAATCTATGTCAGTCCTGAGTATTTTCATCTGAGGAAAAACAATTTTACATAGCATTTACAACTAAACATAATGACATTTATTATAAATAAAAGTATTAGATATAAACTAATAAGTTTATTTCACAGATTTATACCTTTTTCTCTTTAAGAACAAACTTATAGTTTTCATCCAGGTCTGGTTTGCTTGTGTTTCAGTTCACTCACCAATCTGAAATAAAATTTATTTCTGAACTCTGGTGGTCAAGAAAACAAATACTTTTCCACAGAAAAATCAGTTACAATATGAACTTGGAATTGTAGACAAATTATATGTTAGATAATAAATGTTAGATAAATTACTAGGTCTTATGGACAACCTGTCAAGTAGCTAAGAAAGAGTAATGCAGAAAAAGGGGACAGTGGATAAAGATGACTTATTATCTATACACAAAACTCTTTTTTTTTCTCAATTTACAGGGTAGCCCTGAGGAAAAAAACATCTATACTTCCATACAAGTAAGTTTACTTGTTCTATTAATCAGTAATGCATGTGAATTTCGTAGTGTGAAAAATAAATATCACTCAAATGCCTTTATATTAGCATGTGTTCAATGTCCTGTGCTTTATGGAATCTTTATTTATAGATTTCATGAATGTATCAAACTGTAAATCATCATGATATATGTCATTCATTATATACTCAAGAGCAGAACCTTATTACTATTCTGTAAGTATATTGAAAAACCTTCCATTTCACATTACATTGTCCTCTCTCCCCCTAAAACATTTGGAACAGAATTGGAAGTTACGCACTGGCGACAGCAGAGAAAAGACACACAGTGAAAACACCTCCTAGGCATTTAATTTTGTTTATGCAAAACAAAGACCACAAAAGTCCTTTGCAATGGAGGCTGCCCTCCAGGTATGCTGCACCTCCTTCCAATAAGTTCAATTTGCACATCCCACCTCTAGCCTGAAAGCCTTCAAAGCAAACACTTTTCAGTAAATTCTAGTAGCGCCAAGTATTGCAAGAACTTTAAAATGAGTTCCTGTACTTATTTTACAGGTTTGGCTGGAAAATTATGCTTTTCCTGAAAAGTCGTAATACAAAGACTGAGGAAGGTGAGGTGCACACAGACAGTTTATTCCTCAATTCTGGCAGTGTTGGAATGAGACAGTTCAATGTATTTTTCTGCCTCTGTCAATGTGCTGAAGAAAATTACCAGTATGTCATATATATCATTAGAAATTACAGGACATAGTGTAAAAGACAATACCTTCTAAACTTAAAAAGTTTACTGAGTGACAGGTTATTTTTAAGATACATAGATGTGTACATATTACATACATAATAAACATTAAAATGTGTATTTTTTTGCCCTGGAGCAGCAGTCTACTTTACAAAGCAATGCCCTCATAGCCTCCTGAAAGTAAATGGCACTTGCGCATCATCAACATCTAGACATGCAACAGAGAAAAACAACTCAGCTTTGCTTTGTTTTTAGGAAGGGGGATATAATCACACATTTCAAAGATACAACACAAGAAAGAAGTGTCTCTTGAAAATGAGGGCAGCTGGCAGTGTCTGCTTTGTGAGCCCAGCCTGGGGGGAGTGGAGTGCACCTGTAGAGTTTGGTAAGAACAAATCCATGCCTTGGGCTACTCTTCCCCCAGTGATGTCTTGTCTACCTTACACACTGATGTGCACCCACACACACACAGATATACAAAGGATTGGCACTTTGTTTCAGTCCACACTACAGAGAAAAGGAGGAAGAGACTTAACAAGTCTCTTAACACTCTAACGTTGGAAATAATAAATATAAAAAGTTAGTTACACATTTGCAGCTGAAATGCTGTCATTTAAGTACCACGCAGCTGCTCACTGCTGCCCAGCCCTGATTATTGCATGGGATAGACAAAAAGGCTCAATGTTAATCCCTCCCAGCAGACGTTGCTGTAAAGAGTTAAAGTAAAATAAAGAGTTGATTTTATATCAACATTTACCAATCAGTCACCAGAACAGATGTTTGACACAGCTGTGCATCTATTCCTCTTTACCAATGATAAATCTTCGTAACTATTTGTCTTTCAGGAAATGAAGAAATTATTTCTTCTGCAGTATGGATCTTACTTGTGGTAGCATTTGGGACACTCTTAGTGGCAATTGTCACAATTTTATTCTGCAGAAGGTAAACAATTCATGCATTTATTTTATGTAGGTGTGTGAAACATCTGCACTTCTTAAAGAAATAAGGTAGAGGTGTCCCTGTACTATCGATAAAACTTTTTCACTCACACTGTACTGGAAATCAATCCAAATGAGTGATTCTGAGGCAAGTATGGTAACAGTGATGCCCAAAGTCCCTCCCTGGCTGATCCATACAAGTTTTCCCTTGACCTCTTCTATCAACATGGGAAGGAGACCAATTGTATGCAATTATATGTTTGGTTACCAGTAAAGATTTTGCAACATTCGCTAGCATTGTCCTAAGTAAACTGAATGTATCTGAAAGCACATAAGCTAAGCAGCTTGCTTCTTGAAACAGACCAAGTGGAACAGTAAGAGAAAGGATATTCTGCTGCATCATGCACTTCGTATAAAAATACACAGTGAGTCAGAGAAAATACTGTTCTTCCAACTTGTGAAAATGTTTATACCCACTTTCACTGGTCGTAGGGACTTAAACAGCAGGACAAATTCATTTTCCTCTCAAAGAAGAAAATGACTATAGTGAATCTTGAACCAAAAATGAAACTATTACTATCCAAATTACTACTGTTTTCCTGATACGTGTTCATTCTGTGCTGAGATAGTGTGGGGGTTTTTATTTCTCTTCTGTGCTGGAAGAGGAAGATAAGAGCTGGTTCAAGGGTGCAATGCTTTTGACATGACCGTTACTTATTTTTAATTTTCTATTCCATCTCTTTTGATATCCAGGACTGGCTGTTGGAAAGCAGCATTTCCACAAGTCCCAGAGCCAAAAAATGCATTTCATAGACTGCCTGATACAAATACAGAGGTATGTTCTCTTTCTATTTTATATTAAATGTGTAAAACATGTACAGGACTCTACTGCAGGTATTTTTAAAATTATAAGGAACTTAACACAGAGAATAACTCTTCCTTTGCCATATTTTGAGGAATTACAAGGGAAAATCAGCAGGCAAAACTGTTAAGAGAAGTCAAATGCAAAGTTCTTACAGAACCAGAGGGTTTCTCCTGTTCCAGTCTCATACACGCTGGGGCTGATGCTACCACTGGTGGGTCCAGACAGCAGCAAGGGCTGTATGTTTTCCCAACATGAGGCACACACATATACAGTGGCACACACATAGAGGACACTACTTCAGGCAGCCACAAAGACCAGCACAGGAGCCTTTACCAGCAGCATGTCAACACTAACAGCAGTCACATAAACAGGGTCACAGACATCCTGGTCTTCCTGCTCCTCTCCAGCTGAGCAGAGCTGAAGTTTGCCAGCAACAAGTGCATACATCCTCACTCTCTTCAGGTACAACAACCATAAATTTTCAAGTTCCTCACATGTGATTTCTGTGTCTGGATCCTGTTCACCAGCTCTCACTTTCAGTCTCTGCAGCTGCAGGTCTCTCCTACCCACCCACCCACCAGCCCCAGCTTCAATGAAGTTTGTTGTTTGAAGTTACACACACAGGATATAAAACAAGGTGACACAGAAAACAGTTCAAAATAGGATTTTGTAAGGTAACAGGACAGTCTGTGATGGTCACACATGGCATTTGACCAGCATGCTGACCAGCAGCTCTATCCCAGCTGAAACCAAGACACCTTATGTATAAAACTAATGGAAGTTCTTATTTTCCTTTCAGCTGATGGAGATTAAAATTCAGTCAATAACATCTGATAAGGAAGAGATAACATTAGTTGCTGACATATTGAAATAACCAAAAAAAACCCTGAGGAATCTGAAAGTGTATTTCTTAGCTCAGGCAACTGTATATTCCTGGAATAATATACAGGCTTCCTTCAGTTTCTTCTTGGCAAAAACAGTAGTGCAGCCAAAACAGAATGATAAAAAATGTAATTTTTTTAAATGCCGTTGTATTTGCTTTTAATTTTGGCTAACTTTGACTGTTTGAGTGACTTGTCCTTTTTGTGGATATGACTGAAATATTTCAGTCAAGAAGTTTTAGTTACATTCTAATTTGTTTAAGGAAAAATAATGGGTTTGTTTCATATTAAAAAGAATAAGAATGAATTTATTGAGATGAATAAAAACTTTTTATAAAATTCCTGGCGCCTGAATGCCATTGTTCTACTGTCAAGAATGGGCCTATTCATACTTGAGGTTTTCTCATGTCTCTTAAAGTACTCATGGGCTACTAGAAACTTGAGAATGGGAAAGAAAACAGGCTGACATAAAGTGGTGTCAAAAGTACAGGAGTATGTCTAAAACCCTAACTAATCCTAGAACTTAACATGTGTTACAACTTAAGAGATCAGCCGCCATTTACTTGACATCAGCTCAGAATTTACCTCTGTAAGTATCCAGGTCTTACTGCTTACTTGCCTTTTTGCTACTTTAATTTACTGTTGTAAAATATTGAGTGCATGACTCAATCTCTATGTTCTTTTGTTCAAATAGAGGGCTTTGCTATTGAGCTGAACAGTAAGTTTTCAGAGCCACAGGATTAGGACAATGTCTTGGGAAAACAGCTCAGGCTGTTGTTGAATGCAGTGACTGATCATGAGCAATGCTCCTCAAGGATCAGTGTTGAGACTTGTAGTTTTTAGTACTAACAGCTATTTGGACAATGGGATGAAATGCAGCCTTAGCAAGACTGGATGACGGCAAACAGAGCTCACCAACTGATATAGTAGAGGGCAGGCTTGCTATTCAAAAGGGTTTGACAGGCTGAAGAAATGGGTTGATAGGAACCTCCTGAAGCAAATGCAAAGCCAAATACCCAGAAAAGAAAACCAACTGCATGTATCCTAGAAAATGGCTGACTGATGGGTCTGCAGAAAAGGCTCTGAAGTCCTGGTGGGCAACCAACTGAACACAAATCAGAATTACTTCCTTATAGTAATGAAAACTATCTGCATACTGGGAGGAGTAGACGCAGCAGTCAAGGATTATTCCCTCTACTCAGCACTCATGAGTCTGCATGTGCAGTTCCATGTCCGAATTTCAGCCTCCTGGTACAAGAAAGACATTAATGCTGCTGGGAATGTTTAGAAGCAGGACACCAAGATGATTATGGGGATCTTAAGGAACTGGAATTTTTCAGCCTGCAGAACAAAAGCTAAGGGGAACTACTTCTGTCTTCCACTGGGTGTAGAGAAGATGGCATAGTCTTCTCTGGGAGTTGCACAGTGTGAGAAGGAGAAGGAACAGTCACAAGTTGCAGCAAGAGAAAGTCCAATTTGATATGAGGAAAAAGAATGATTTACAGGGGAAAGTGGTTGGATGGTCTCTGTAATGGGTGTCCAGGGAGGCTCCACCCTTGGATATATTCAAAACACAACTGGACAGGCATCTGGGTCTGACACTGAAGTTGGCTTTGCTTTAAGTGGGAGATTGGACCCGGTGACATTCAGAGGTACATTCCAACCTAAATACTTCTTTAAATATTTCTCTAAATGGCTCTTGTCAAATCTGGTCAGTCTTTCCAAGTCCCTGTTGTGAAACAATGGTATCTATTTGTCCACTTAAAGCAGCTGGGAGAAATGAAGTCTTACTATGTACTGGTAGTTGCCTAGAGAGCTATCGAATAAAACATGCCTCTTGCACTTGACTCAGAAGCATCTTCTTCAACATAAGCCTTTGTAAGAGCTATGTAGTCAGTAGAGACCATGAGGGCAGCATAGAAGTTGAGGCAAATACTCTCATCTCCTGGGGCATCTCTCGATACACTTCACAGAGAACAGGAGCACAGCAACAAACTCTATTTTACTGGTATAATTTGATTTCTGGGTTCCTTCCTTTGGGAAAGAAGCATATTCAGCAAAAAGGTCGGACTTTGAACAGGTAATAGCAGGGCATAGACAAAGCTTCCATCTTTGGTTGAAAGTCTAATTCCATACAAGGCTCAGCCAGAATCTGAAGTTATGCCAGAAGAGCCTTAACACCTGACTCCCCAGTTTGAATGGCTGGTTAGTCAACCATCTACTTTTTTCTACCTGAGGATGCAATGCTGGAAGTTCACCTTGACTTCTAAGGTGGTCTTAATACTCAAAAAGAAAATGCTCAGCAGTTTCTCCTCTTAACAGAATTAGCCTTTGAGCACTTTCATTCATTATCTTCTGAGTAGCCCCATTAATTTTGACAACTCATATATCTTGCTGCTTCTTTTGGTCTTTGAGATTCATATTTTGGGGGTCTCATGATGTTTTTCATAATTGTGTGAGGAATCACTGACACATCAGATTTTGCTGTGAAATCACTTTTCTCTTTAAGACTCAAAGGCTCAGATTTCTATACTAGACAGTTGAACATAGCTATTTGATTATTAGGCCAATTTTATAATGATACTAGACATTAAATTATCAGACTAAATACTCCCAAGACTACTTTCTTGCATTGAGGTCGACTGCCATGTAAGAACCCAGATACATTTTATTAAACCCTTAAATAAGGTGTGCACATGTAAACTGCATTTAGAAATTAGCCCTGACCTGACCTAACTTCTGGACTATGTCCAGGAGTTGTTCAGGACATTGCTTGCAAATTCTGGCCAAGCCAATGCTGGAAACAGTTGTTCCTGGATACGTTCCAGTGCTGGGAGTCTTCCAGTTACCAGAGCAGCCCAAGGCCATACCCCACACTGTCCAGTTCCTACAGTAGCTGGATGAAAACAGCTATTAGTACACCTACTGCCTTAGCAGACAAAGTTAATAATTGCCTTTTGGTCAAAGAATCACCTGGGAAGCTTTTCACAGCAGATCGAACAAGGTCGATTTCTTAATGAGGCTGAGTTCATGCTTTACACACGTGTAAACCATCCTTCTAATTCTCTCAGTATGCAGCAGTGGCCAGAGTTGAAATGCTCACAGTCACTTGCTGAAAGAGTGATTGTGTTGTATTAGACTACACTAGTTTATACAACCTTTCACAATATCGTTCCCATTGGCCAAAATTATCAGTGAAGTATAGTTTGGCTATAATGCACCAAAACCTAGCCATGAGCTGTGAACCATTCAGTTGCTTTCTGTCAGGAAGAGAATAGGAAAGTATAACAAAGAAAATATCAAGAAACTGAGGAGCTGGCATTATGGTCTTGTTAAATAGAAGCTAAACAAGCTGTTCCTATTTTATCCTGGAGAGGGTTAACATGCTTCCAACTTGTTGAGGAAAGGTGTTACACCCAGAGCCTGGCCAAACATGCCACCACAACAGGATGCAAATCCCTTTACCAGAATTAATCAGGCATATTGACACACACTGTGGTGTTTGTAATTACACATTCTGCAACACAAATTAGTGTGACACAAGAGAATGGTTCTATAGAAAAGTTACACAAGGTGGTCGTGGTCAGTGAGGTGGCTGGTGGGGGCCACTGGGTAAAGGTGGGCGAGACCTTGAGCAATGTGAACTGAAAAGCAAAGGCATTTAAAATTTGAAATGTCTGTGAAGTAATTTGCTATTGTCAGATCTGAGCACATACAATAGCAAAAACAAAACAAACAAAAAAACCCAAACCCAAACCAAACCAAAAAACACCAAACGAAACAAAAAAAAAAAAAAAACAACAAACAATTTTGGTTCAAAGAAAACAGGGTTAAGAACAGTTCTTTCTCTAACAGACTAATAAGGATCCTGCCTCACTCCTAAGAAGCCTGGGGAATTCTTCACCTTCCTGCTATTGTGCCTTTGTTGGGAGTGGAATATAGGCAGCAATTAAAATCACTCTTGCTACAAGTGTTCAAGAACAGCAAGAAATAAAGAGAAGCTATTACATGAAGATTACACATCTGCATGCCAGATATCATGTGAAACAATCTGGGAAGCGGGTAACACTCAGCACAACACAGAGCCACATCTAAAACTGCTGGAATTTAAAGCAAACATTGTGACTTACACTCTCTATTTATATGACTGCAAAGTCTTTCGCAAACTTGGCATTACTGAATTTAATAAATGCTTTGGATATTTTTTTTTAATTTGAATATACAGACACTTTTGCACCTAACCCACAATATTGTCGCCTAAGATGAACCAAACAAAATAAACCCATAACCACCAGGCAGTGAGAAAGTTCAGAAATTTGGATCTGATACTTTCCTTGCCACTTCTTTGCCTATAAATATGCAAGACGTAATTTTCTTGGCTGTTTGCAAATACATGACAAGGATTGATCTTTCTCAAAGAAGAACCTTCTGGACTGGTGCAGCAGTCATAAACAATGCATACAGGTAGCCAGGTCCTGACAGAAATAAACGGCCATGTTGCAAGCACTTTAAACATGGCCTAGTCACACAACACTGCTGTTATTTCCAGAACACATTATTTATGAATATGCATTTATTTTTAAGAAAGGTGTTTCTATGAGCATATTCATGAACTATGACTACAGAGTATTTATGTATTTTTGTATAATGGGTTTGCATATTGTGACTATTAGTGCTCAGTTCATCCACCATAACAGGAAGGAAGAGATAGTTGCATGATCAGTTCGTGTGAAATCGCTAACATCTGCAAATAAGGAAATGTAAGGAAGTCCAAAAGCAGTAAGGGAAAGGATAAACGGAGTCACTTTCTGACTTGCAGCATTTGTTACTTAATACTGGCATGCAGCAAAAAACATCAACTGGCAGGGCAAAACATTTACTGATGCCTGCATGTCCACAACTACAACTTCAAGCTTCCTTGCCGCTGTGATCCCAAATCAAACAAGACAAAGGAGGGGAGGTTTTATAAGAGAAGGTATGTCTCTCTATGTTC